TTGTTTGGCTTTTGTTTTGCAACAGCTGTTATTATCGTTTTTGGTCAGCTGTGATTGCTGGAGGCAAAATAGGACCAGATGGTGTTTTGCTATGCATGAATGGCGAGTTAGAGGCGTTGAGATTGAATAGGCCAAGTTTGAATGGTGTCTGTATACCACCTGCCTGCCTGGGCTGTGGCACACACATCACAGTGGCAGGATCCGCCGCCGATCTACTAGAATCGGATGGGAAAGTGGGGCGCCGCGGTGGATTTTCCCCATATTTATTGATCTTCCATGCACTAACAGAATAATGCAGTGTACTGTCAATCTGAGTTAATTGGATATGACACAGCATGCGCGCGTAATATATCACTATAGAATTCTGGTTCGCTGTAAGGATTTCATTGCTCACGCAGACACACACATATACACACACACACACAGGGCAGAAATTAATGGGCTAAGTAGACACAAGTTTAAAAAAAAAAAACAAGTCTGTCTAAAATTATAGACTCACAAGTCTAAGGTTGAGGTTTTGGAAGGAGAAGACCTCAGGATTTGTGTCAGCTAATAATGCAAGGTAAAGAAGAGCCATGATTCTAGTATGTTTACAGAGCCCTCCTATTTGTCAGTTACCCATGAAGCAGTGCACATTTAGAAGAAATGTGCCTTGGTAGGAAAACCGCACAGATTCACAACCAGATTAGAATCCTCTTAGAAAATATTCCTAGATAGAATTTTCTTCTCACCCCCCTCAAATATAGTTAGTTTTGCTGACCATCTGAAGTAAATTTAGGGATAAACACTATCCCTGAATTTTAAAGTCCGTGAACGGCTTAACCCACCATGCTGCTTAGGATCCTACAGGTGTGATGGGTTTGTGTGTGCCAGTGTGTTGGAGGAAAGCTTAACCACCCACGAAACATGGAGTTAGATATGCAGACAGGCAACTCCATTTGCCTACGGCCCTAATTACTTAAATTTACTTCTGCTACACGCAAAACACTGTGATAGGTCCCAAAGGAGATGGGAAAATAAACAAGGCCTTCTGTTTACTTTGTATATGTTTGAAATCTTCCATAGTAAAGGTTAAAAAAAAAAACAGATAATAAGCCATCTTCAACATCAGGAGCTTTTTTATTTTTAATTTTTTATTTTTTTTAATTTTTTTTTTTTATCGTGGTGGAGAAATGTACCCAGCAGACAGAATATGAACATGACAATAAGAGACAAAACAAACTAAACAAATTGTTCTGGGTGATTGTATTTTTGTTTTTTGGGTTTTTTTTTTTTTTTTTTTTTTTTTTTTTTTTTTTTTTGGTACTCTAAGAAACTGAAAATTTATTTAGAAAGGGAAGAGATTGTAATTGGTTAGGGGCGTTAGGGAAGGCTGCATGGAATCATCGGTGTTTAAGATGTGCCTTGAAGTTTGGGTGGATTTCAGTGGGCCGGGATGGAAGTCCTATCCTGGTAGAAGGAGATGACTCTGGACAACAGGAAGCAGGAGAAAAGCCATTCATGTTGAAATCACAAGCACCATCAAAGCAGCAGTAGACAATATAGCAGACTGGCTACACAGGGCTTCTGGGGAGGTGAGCAGGAGAAAGTTCTAGAAAGGAAGTTAGAAGTTGGATTTGTAGAAGGTCTTGCAAGCCTGGTGAGGGACTTAAAAAGCACTGAAGTTGTCCAAATGAGG